GCCGCTCTCCAGGAGGACTCCCAAATGGAAAGACGTCTCATTGGCGTGACTGAGGCTCCCATTGGAGACCATCATATGCGACGAGAAGTCCGTCTCATTTGCGGTGATGTTGTTGTCGTTGGCGAGAGTGAGGCCAACGCTGAGAGTGGCGTTGAGTTTCCAATCGGGTTCTGAAGTGACTTGAAATGCATAATATATACTACACGACAACAACAGAGCACTGATCGTTGTGTACGCCTGAAGACTCGGAAGTGGAAGAATGTCTGGAGTGTCCAGAAAGAAGGCCGGCATCTCGACGATCACCACTGACGAAGAGTGGCAGCTAATGGTGCGCTGAGGCTATCAAATCACTGCTCTATTAATACTATTATGTCTTATGGGATGCGCTGAAGAGGTGTCGCACCAAACAAACCACTCTTTAGATCAAGTGTTCAGCAAATTGTCTCTTCAATACATAAATCAGTTATCAATCAATGGTTTCACGAATCAAAAGACGAGATATGAGTGAACGACCCGTCAGTCCATTAGTTGTTGAGTTGTATTCACTGTTGGGTTGTCTTCAGTCTATAAAGAGATTGAAAATCAGGACATTTGGGATGAAAAGCATATATTGAATGCAAATATATATCATATTTATATCAATATAACCATTAAAGCCATACAACAGATACATACACAGCCTATGAGTGGCTATGAATGGGTTATTAAGTAATGCAAACCAGAATACAGTGACCTTAATATCATAGCAGACCTACCATTGCATACCATATGATACCTCAGACATAAGTGACACTTCAGACAATCACTACACCACCAACTGGTCCACCAATTCACCCATCAGACCATCACTCGTACCGATTCAACACAGATGCTCATCGTATCATCAAATGTCACGAATTGACCACAAATTGTCTGATACTGTGGCGGAGACTAACTGTCACTCAATGCACTCAATACACAATTGGTGTTCAATGGGAGCCAGTGTTGGACTCTGCGGTCAAAGGCATTAATAACTGAGTTTCCAATGGATTGTCAAATACTGTGATAATAATCGCAATTAAATGTAATTTCCGTACAATTCATACAATTCTACATCATTTGCAATGCAATCACATTCACTGTTCACATACATTGTGTACAGTATAGCACTCACACACGTATTACATAACGTAATAATAGCTCAATCACTGCCCCCTCATGAGTGTCAAATTGTTTGTCAATTCAATGACTTTCATTTACTGCTAATTAGTGTCTCTTACAGTGCTATCGATGTTAAGCTTTGAATTAATTTTAAAATTTAAATAAATATACAGTAATATCTGTTAATTTGTTTGCAAAGTATATAATATAGTGGTACATTTTGGACACTATGATAATAATTTGTGCCAATTTGCATATTCATTAGAAAACTTCATTAGTACAGTATATCAAAAACAGAATTACATGATAAATGTTATAAAATCTTTTTCTTAACTTTTACTTACTTACTTGTTAATATTCAAATCATACAGTGAATATTAAAATTAAAATTATATTACCTCCAAAAATAATATTTAAAATATTTCAATATAATTCTATTGTATTCAATATTAGTGGTTATTCTTTAATTGTCTTTGATATTATTTTTTGAAATTTTAAATTAAATTAAAACTTTTATTAAGATTTCTAATAAGAGTCACAGGTTTCAAAGTAAAGGAAAATTGTTTTTAAATTAAAAACTAGTTATTATATCAAATAAGTAGTATTACGATACTTGTATAGTTAGAAAATATTAAAATAATTGAATCATCAAATAATTAAAGAACCAGTATTTATAATTGAGTTTAAATATTATAATTTAATTTGTTTCAAATATTTTTAAAATTATTCATTTTATTTTAAGTAAAATTTGAATTTTTAATATTTAAAAATGTGTTGAATACATTTGTATGTAATGTTGCTATATTTTGATATACCATTAATGGGAAAACGAGTAAATAAAATAAAAGTAAAAGTTATGTTACGTTAGATTATAGCGAAAAATAGTTACACTGAAATGCAGTCTAAATACTGATTGTATAAATTGTCGGAAAGTATAATTATATTTATTAATGAATGCTTGTTACGTGTAATGTACATCAATAGCATTCAAATAATGAGAATTACCGTCTAAATTGAATTATTAGACAAACATTTGTTAAAATAAATAAATAAATAATAAAGGATTGAATGGAAATAATGCAGGAATTTATCGATTGAATAGAAGTGGTATTCCGTTGTAATGCCTTTAGTTATCATACAATACCTGTAGTTATATAATAGTGGTTGTAGTGGTCGTAAACGTATGAAATGATTGAAACAACTCTGCGTCTACTCTACTCTACTCTGTACTAAATTTACAATTACTTCACATACGGTATAACATAATATGTATTTACTGTGCCGTATATCATATAACACAACATATTTCCATTAAAGCTCTGTATATTACTGTATAATATTTACTGTATTTAATCGATTGAATCCTATTTACTAATTAAGCATTAATTAGTCGACTCAAGCGATAGGCCGTAAGCTTAGCACAGATTCCTGTAAACGTGTGGCCATTCTGTGCGATATTGCCTCAGATTCTGGGCTCTCGTATGAGTGAAGGAAGTGATGTATAAGTGATGAGGGATTGTATGGATTGTAGGGATTGTATGTATTTTCTCTCATCTCCTCATATGTGATGACGTAATTCATCCGTTTTGTCAAAAGTGTAACACTTTATGAAAATAGGCGATCACTTACACTGTATTCAATTGTACTTATCATAGCATTCATGTGCAACAAGTCATCGATTCACTATTGATTTGATTGCATTCAAGTGCTTATATTTAACACCAACTTATAACCTATCGGTTGTCCATTGAATCGGTTTAGAGGTAAGTGTGGATTGTTTTCAATTGATTGCACCTCTTATTTGAGTTCAATGTTTGCAATACTCTTCCATATGTTGCTTATAATACCAGACAATATCACATACAATACATTATTCTCTATATTCTCTCCACTATATTGTCGGCTCTGCTTTGCATTCAATGCGTTCACATGCGATATATATTGTGCTCAAAACATCTTGTTTTCCGTTGTTTCGCACAAATTAATTATTTTTCCAATTAATTAATAATTAAAATATGAAAAGAGTCGAGTATTTCATACAAAGTGTTTTTTATATGAGAAATAGGATTATGATATTTAGGATATCTATGAGCTCTAAGAGATATTCACTTAATATTCATATAATTGTATTGATTCTTGTCTGCACTTTATTCGCATAGTTTTAGTCACCAAATTCAGTGCCTATGAAATGGATTTCACATTCTTGTGCATATATTACAACAAAATATTTTATTGTACAGTATATAGAAATAAATAAAATTCATATTTATACAATGTAGATATTATAGCTGTATAGCTGTATGATTTTCTATATTTTCCAATCCGATCCCAAACTCATAGTTATTGATTTTTGACGAGAAAATTATGCCTATATATTGGATAATGCGATTACAAGCAATTAGCTTTGACTATAACTGACACTAATTAATCGTATTTTACTGAAATTATGTGAAATCTCTCATTTCAATTATTTTCAGCAAAATTTAGATTAAAATAAAGAAATATGTTTACTTTTAAGGCATTATATTTTGCAATTAATTCTTAAAAACAATTTTAGGACTTATGATTTTTCTGATTGAATTTTCACAGTGAATTAGTTTTTAGAGTAAAATGTGCATTTTAAATTCTGATAATTCAGTCAAATTCTTATATTATTTTTAACCAGATCACAATATAATTTTCATTAAATATAAATTGCAATTCACGGTACTGTATTACCCTGTTATTACAACTAAAGATTTAAAAACACTTTCAGATTAGTACAAAATAAAATTCATAATCTTTTAATTAACCACAAAGTCATATAATCAATAGGCAATGGATTGACTATTTCGCCATGTTTATTTTTTATTAATAATATTTACCGACACAGTTTTGTGGAATAAATAGAGTCAAGACATTAGGAAAGATTACTAATCCCAGTGCTGAACAATAAATCCCTGTCGACGAGATACTTGTCTAAAGTGTTTCATTAATATTCCTTACAATGAAAGTAACAGTTTTGTCGTACAATGTATAATGCAATGCAATGAATTCTGTGCAGAACTACCTGTAAGACTATAAGAGGGGTCACTTTGTTATATCCCCAAAAGTATGCCGAAAATGTTGTCAAGTCCTCCCCCGCAAACTTTTTCTATATACTAATAATCGATACACATTTCAATTGATTTTAGTTGTGATGTGCAGGTTCTCTACGCTCAGGTAATATCGATTAGTTAGAGAAATTAAGCTAAATATAAATTATATCTAATGGGCACTAAAATTCTTGTAATATTTGCATTTTTATTACTATACTAATTACTATGGAATATGTTGTGAATTAACAAAATAATTTCGATTCAATATATTATGTCTTTTGAAGGAATGAATGACAACAATAATACCAGCAATTCTTCAGATTATGATTATCTCATCAAATTCTTAACACTTGGTATAACATTTGCCTTCAATTTGTGTACAATTCAATTGATTTGTTGATTCCATACGACACATACAATAAGGC